GACTTCCGTTGGCTTGAGATCTTTGTAGTTTGGCATCATTTGGATCAATGTGCACACGGTATCATAATTTCTATCCAATGCTCTTAGGATCTTCTTGATGATGAATCTGTCGGTCATCTCTTCACTCCCTAAGCCGGCAATCTCATTTGTGATAAGAGCAAGCCTAGAGTACATTTCAGCGACACCTTCACCATCCTTCATTTTGAACTTGTCAAGATGACTTTGGAGCACATCCAACTTGGATTCCTTGACGGAGTCGGTACCTTCATGCATATCAATCAAAGTGTCCCAAATTTCCTTTGCATTCTCAAGACGGCTGATTTTGTTGAATTCTTCGGGGCACAATCTGTTGAAGATGGTATCACAAGCTTGAGCATTGTATTGCAGCATCTTCAATTCTTCCACATTAGCTTCATGGTTCGGCTCTCTCCCATCAAAGAATTCACCTTGCAAGCCAATACAAATAATAGCCCAAACGGCAGGGTTATGTCCGAGAATATACATTTTCATCTTATGTTTCCAACTAGCAAAATTAGTGCCATCAAAGTAAGGACCTCTACGGTGATAATTTCCCTCGCTAGACGCCATACTCTCCTAGGTTGTGAAACCAAGGCTATGACCACCAAAAGCTATGGGAATCAAAGAACATGGATACCAAGGCTCTGATACCACTTGTAGGACCTTGAAGTATGTCTAGAGGGGGGTGATTAGACTACTTGACCAATCAAAAACTTAACCTTTTCCCAATTTTAGAGTTTGGCAGATTTTAGCAATCTTTGGACAAGTCAAGCAATCATCACTCAGATCAAGCAAGCATGCAAATAGTATATAGGTAGCGGAAATTAAAGCACGCAACTTGCAAGAAAGTAAAGGGAAGGGTTTGGAGGATTCAAACGCAGTTGGAGACACGGATGTTTTTGGCGTGGTTCCGATAGGTGGTGCTGTCGTACATCCACGTTGATTGAGACTTCAACCCACGAAGGGTAACGGCTGCGTGAGTCCATGGAGGGCTCCACCCAAGAAGGGTCCGCGAAGAAGCAACCTTGTCTATCCCACCATGGCCGTCGCCCACGAAGGACTTGCCTCACTAGCGGTAAATCTTCACGAAGTAGGCGATCTCCTTGCCCTTACAAACTCCTTGGTTCAACTCCACAATCTTGTCGGAGTCTACCAAGTGACACCTAGCCAATCTAGGAGACACCACTCTCCAAGAAGTAACAAATGATGCGTTGATGATGAACTCCTTGCTCTTGTGCTTCAAATGATAGTCTCCCCAACACTCAACTCTCTCTCATAGGATTTGGATCTGGTGGAAAGAAGATTTGAGTGGAAAGCAACTTTGGGAAGGCTAGAGATCAAGATTCATATGGTAGGAATGACATATCTTGGCCTCAACACATGAGTAGGTGGTTCTCTCTCAGAACTGCTAAGTTGGAAGTGTAGGTTTGTTCTGATGGCTCTCTCCATGAATGAAGAGGAGGTGGAGGGGTATATATAGCCTCCACACAAAATCTAACCATTACACACAATTTACCAATCTCGGTGGGACCGAATCGACAAACTCGGTCAGACCGATTTAGTAAACCTAGTGACCGTTAGGATTTTCGATGGGACCGACATGCAACTCGGTAGGACCGATATGGTTAGGGTTAGGGCATAACGTAATCTCAGTGAGACCGATTACACAAACTCGGTGAGACCGATTTTGGTAATTAGCTAACCAGAGAGTTGGTCAGGTAAACTCGGTGGGACTGATTTGCTCTTTTCGGTGAGACCGAAATGTTACAAAAGGGAAACAGAGAGTTTACATTGCAATCTCGGTGGGACCGATCGCTCACTTCGGTTAGTCCGAAACGTTACGAAGGGAAACACAGAGATTACAATCCCATCTCGGTGAGACCGAGATCCCTATCAGTGAGACCGATTTTCCTAGGGTTTGTGGCAGTGGCTATGACATCTGAACTCGGTGGCACCGGATAGAAAGAATCGGTGTGACCGATTTTGGCTTTAGGTTTAGGTCATATGAGGATGTGAGAAAGTAGTTGAGGGTATTTGGAGCATATCACTAAGCACTTGAAGCAAGAGGCTCATTAAGCAACACCTCATCCCTCCTTGATAGTATTGGCTTTTCCTATAGACTCAATGTGATCTTGGATCACTAAAATGTAAAATGAAGAGTCTTGAGCTTTTGAGCTTGAGCCAATCCTTTGTCCTTGATATTTTGAGGGGTCCACTTTCATCATCCATGCCATGCCATTCATTGAGCTTTCCTGAAATAATAGTCTTTGAATAGCATTAGCTCAATGAGCTATATGTTGTTATGAATTACCAAAACCACCTAGGGATAGTTGCACTTTCAGTTCGGCTAGCCTTCGGGCGCTCCCTAGTATGCCAACCATGAAGGTGATCATCAACACCATACTCATATGGTTGTGTGCATCGAAGGCCAGTGGTGATCATCCATTTCTCAGAAAAAAAGCCTCCTACACTTACCATCATTTGTCAATTTCTTGCAACAATCTAATTGCCGAGTCTAAAAACAGTTGATCTGTGGGTGTTTATGGTAATTCCTTGTGGTCATAATATTTTTTTACAGCTGGTGGAGAAGATGATGGAAAATCACAAGGAGAACGTCAATGCAAGAAGGGTGGCACCATGTCACGGCACTGCGGCAACTGCACCAGGTGAACGGTGACCCATATTTCAACTCCCATAGCTATGCTGGCAGGACAATGAGGAGGACTTGCATTCTGGCCATTTTGTTTGTTTGATGCAAATGCAGCGACAATTGTGGTGTTGATAGTAGTTACCATTTCTTTTTGGAGAAAGTTTATATACCCCCTTAAACTATGATATTTTGGGCACATCACCCCCTCACGTTGAAAACAAGTATCTTAAGCCCCGAACTATCCTAAACCGGACAAATCAGCCCCGAGGCCTGCTAGCTGGTTTTGTAGATGTTGTTGCCTACGTGGACCCACCTATCAGTGTAAAAACATATGTTGACCAAGGAATCGACCACATGTAACAGGGGAAGAAAGGTGAAGGATGACAACGGCGACCTCCGCGGCTCTGCCTCCCTGACTACTATCGTTCCTACAGCGTGCGAATGGATGACCCTGCTCACCACCTGCCTCACCCTCTCCAATTCTTCTTATCCCAACCATGGATGACAGCGACAATGGCAACATGTCTGGTGGCCTCGAGACCCCGGTCTGAAGCAGGTGGGATGTCCCCAACCGATGCCTTCGACTGTGGCGCCCTGCCATTAGCACATACGCACTCAAGCTCATCGAGCTGGCACAGGATGCAGATGTTGGGCATCCTCCTCATAGGCCCATATTGGCGTCACCCTCATTTGTGGAAGATGGCTAGAACGAGGAGGATACTATTGCGGCCATGGATAGCGTAAACCGTGGCTCCATCTTGTTACATGCTCTATTTTGATTAGAGGGGATTTTATGAGGGAGAAACGTTGAATACACTTAGACATGGGCCTTGATATGCCTCAGTCAACGTATCCTATTAGTGAAAATGCAAAACCACTCTCTAAAACCACGTACCAAGCTTCTAGGGGTGATCTGTCTGGTTTAAGATAGTTGAGGGGATTTTGATCCTGGTTTTCGACGCTAGGGGTGATGTGACTGAAACGTGAAAGTTTTGGGGGGTATATACACTATTTTTCGGATGATATACACTAGTAGTACCGAAACCCCACCAGGACCCAAATGTCAATTTTTATCTTGTCAAGCAAGTGAACTTGAGTTGTTGTTATTGTTTATAGGTGTTGATAGTAGTTACCTTTTTTCGGAGCGAGATGGTATAGTAATTTACTAGTAGTACCTAAAACCCATAAGGATCAAAATGTCGGTATTTATGTGGTCAAGCAAGTGAACTTGTGTTGTTGTTACTGTTAATGATGGGTTTGTTAGAAACTTCAAACAAACGAAACAAAAGGAAATTAGCAATATGTTGATGTGTACTTGAGTTTTAATATGACGCGATGCTATGTGTGTGGTCCATTTCAGATATGTGTGTTGCAGTCTTTGTCTTTCCTCTCTTCTGAAGAAGTGGAGATGACACACATGTTGAGTTTAGTCACGTAGGCACACTTTGCCGCGTCGGTGACATTTTTGTCATCCAATAGTTCTTAAATTTAGTGAGATTTGAGCTATTAAATCAGTGGCCATGCGGGATCCCTTGAGACATGTCAGTGGTCACCCATTGTAATGGTTGGGTAGTTGATCCACTTTCCCCCTCCATCGTGACTTGCTGGTTAATGGTCCGAATAGACTTCAATTGTGCTCCCTCATTGGCCAACCATGATTGAGATCATCAACCCTCATACTCTTATGGCTGTGTGTATCAGACGCCAGGGGTGATCCTTCTTTTCTAAGATAAAGACCTTCCTACACTTACCATAATTTGCCAATACCTTGCAACAACATAATTGCCAAGTCTTAAAACAGTTAATGTAAGCATGTTGATGGTAACACCTTGTGGTCTTGATTTTTTTATAGCTTCTGGAGAAGATAATTGAATAGTCCAAGGAGAACGTCAATGCCTAGAAGGGTGGCACCATGTCGCCACGCTACGGTAGCTGCATCTTGTGAATGTTTGGCTCTTTGGCAGCACCCTATCTATCCAATATATAGTTGAACTTTTTCATCAATCATGTGAATTTAATAGCTATATAATGCTTTAATTGATGCTTATCTCTTGCATGCGACAGGCTATAAATAGGGGGGCGCGGCACACGAGACCGAACCACACACCACAAGAAAGAGCATACATAGAGACCACAGTGGAGAGATAGGATGGCATCGAAGATGAGCAAGGACATGAAGTTCTCCGAGGAAGAAGTCACCTCACACCCGCACATTCTGGAAGGTGAGGAGCAGACGGTTGCACATGCGCAGCAGTCTTTAATCTTCGCACTTACACTGGACGAGCTGCAATAGTCGGTGTGCGAGGCGAGGCGCAATTTTGGGTCCACGAACATGAACAAGTTCATGAGCAACTTATGGAATGCCGGGGAGTTCCAAGCGGTGCTCGACGGTGGCTTGGTGGGCAAGGAGGAGGCTCCTCTGGTGGGTGCTGATGGAAGCCGAGGTGGTGGGGATGGAGGAGGAAGCGGCATATGCCCGCAGGGGTCCTTCTCCTTGCCTCCCTGGCTGTGCCGGAAGACAGTGGAGGAGGTGTGGGCTGAGAATAACATGGAGCCCCAACCGGTGCATGCCCAGCCTTAGGCCGCGCGTCTCTCACCGCAGCTTCCTGTCCAGCCAACTATGGGGAATGGCAGAAAGACTTTTTGTGCGGTGATGCTACCTAGCAGCAAAAATCCGCCATTCATTGCTCGCGTCAAGATGCATGCACGTGTCACCACTTTATTCTCATTTTTTGCTATACACTAGTATACAACATCAAAATGCAGCTAGTGGCCCCCCATTATTTGTCTTTGGCATGGATACATGGCAGTAATATGATAGTTCTCTCTCTCTCTCTCTCTCTCTCTCTCTCTCTCTCTCTCTCTCTCTCTCTTCGGTCAAATCCAACCTTTTGTTTCACCTTTACTAAATTAAATCGTCCCTATCTTTTAAACCATAAGTTCCTACTTGAATTTTTTATATATATTTGAACTCCTGGCGCCAAGGCCTTTTAAATAAGACTGATCTTGAATACATTTCGAACACATTTAAATTTCAATGTTTCACACTCCATATGTGAACCAAACCTAGAAAAAATTTAAAGCACTATTTCAACAGAAATATTTAAAACCATCATATTTTCTAGAAACCAGTGACTTTTTGAAACTGAATTTTTGAAATGTGTAACAGTTTATGTCGAAAGAGTGAAAATGTTTTTGATGTTTTTTTCAAAAACATGCAATTGAAATAGATGTGATTTTTGTGAAACAGACGAGTGAAATGTAACATGTTCGTTTTGAATTGTGAAACAGTAACCACAAAATGTGAAATTGAATTTTTTTGAAAGAGTGAAATATGTTATTGTTTCAAAAATGTGTAACTAAAATAGATGTGATTTTTGTGAAACATGACAGTGAAATGTAAAAATGTAGGTTCTTAATTGTGAAATAGTAACCATAAAATGTGAAATTATAATGTATAAATGTGAAACTGATTATTTCAAAAGAGTGAAATATGTTTTTCAAAAATGTGTAACTAAAATATATGTGATTTTTGTGAAACATGATAGTGAAATTTAAAAAGTAGGTTCTAAATTGTGAAAATATTAACCATGAAATGTGAAATTACAATGTATAAATGTGGAACTGATTGTTTCAATAGAGTGAAATATATTTTTTCAAAAATATGTAATTGAAATATATGTGATTTTCCTAAACCAAGCCATGTGTGAAGTGAAATGTAGGTTCTGAATTATGAAAGAGTAACTACAGAAAGTGAAATTCTATTGTATCATTTGTGAAACTAATTGTTTGAACATGTGTAATAGTTTATTTAAAAAGAGTGAAACATGTTACTTCAAAAATGTGCAATTTAAATAGGTCTTTTTATTTGTCAAGAAAGCCTGTGAAAAGTGAAATGTAGGTTCTGAATTGTGCAATAGCCACTATAGAAAGTGAAAATGTAATGTATCATTGTGAAATATATTATTTTGACATGTGAAATATCTGTTCATATTTAAATATGGTTAAAAATATTCAAGATTGATCTCATTTTAAAGGTTTTGGCGCAAGGAGTTCAAATATAAAAAAAGTTTCACAAATGAATATATGGTTTAAAAGATATGGATGTTTTAAATTAGCTAAGGAGGTAAAATGGTTGGATTTATTGTGTGGGAGAAGAAAAAGTGTGTCTGCCAGACAATCATGAATGCATGTGAAGTACACTAGTGGGGCCAACTATTGAAGAGAGACAGTAGAAATATGAAGATGGGAAATCCAGAAAAGAAATGTAATACAAAGATACTTGGCCCACATAGTGTTAGATGGCAGCTCCCTATTGGACATCACCTTGCTAGTAGGTAGTGCAACCACGCAATTTTACATTTTGAGGGGAATGGCAGTTCGGTTGTGGCCAACGACCGGCAGGGGGGGCTTGGAGAGATGATTTTGCAGCAGTTCCTTGTCAAGTTCGGCGTGGTCCAGGGATCTGGCCCCGGCCAGGCACCTCTGCCGCTCGGCATGGTCCATGGATAGATGAACACTCCACAACAGGCGTAGCAGCCTGTCCCAATGATGTACCCGATGGCACCGGCTAATGGCCTTTTTCCGGTGATGGTCGACGACATGGGGTTCGTCCCCAACGGGTACACGGGAATAACCATGGTGCCGCCGCCACCTCCTTAAGGTGGGGTAGGTATCGTGAGCCCCAGGTCATCGGACGGGTGGAGCGCCATGACGCAGGCTGACATGATGACCTACATGTGAGATGGACCAATGATGGATAACGGTGATGCCTGAAAAAGCGGCACCCCGAAGGATCAGTCCTGCAAGAGCAGCATCGAGCGCCTCCACCTCCGCATGATCAAGAACCATGAGTCAGCTGCACAATCGCATGCCAAACATGTACTTACCTTGCTGCCAAAAATGTTGGTTTTTATGCAATGCCATTTCTTCAACAGTAGTAACAAGGTTTTTGACATGTACACACTACCCTTGTTAATCCTACAAGCTTATATTGTGGAGCTTGAAGCTACATTAGACCACCTCAAGGAGGGCAAAGCTCGTCTGAAAGCTGAGGAGGTACGAACCTACTGACTAGTGAAAACCATGAGACAATTCAGTTTTCTTATTCTTTTCAGTTCTTACCGTTACTAAACAATTTCATTGTTTTGTTGCAGAAGATGATTTTGCTGACCAAGAAACAAATGGTATGTACATTTTCCCACCATCGCATGAAAATCCTTCTACACCCGCGATCACTTGCCAATTGCTTGTAACAATCTAACTGCTAAGTCTTAACATAGTCAATGTGTGCGTGCTGATGAAACCACCTTGTGTTCATGATCTTTTTTCTTACAGCTGGTGGAGAAGATGATGGAACAAATCAAGGAGAATGTGAACGCCAAGAAAGGTGACGCTCTGTCGTGGCACAACAGAAGCTACATCTGGTGAACAGTAACCCGCCATTCAGCTTCCATAGCCGTGCTGGCAGGAGGATGAGAATGAATTGTCGTGTTGATAACAGTTACCTTTCCTTTTAGGAGCGGGGTGGTATAGTAATTTACTCGTGGTAGTTAAAACCCATAAGGACCCAAATGTGAATGTTTATATGGTCAAGCGAGTGAACTTGTGTGTTGTTGTTACTATTTATAGGCATATTTGTTTGTTAGAAGCTTCAGATAAATGGAACAAAAGAAAATTAGCAATATGTTGATGTCTACTCGTGCTTTGTTATGATGTGATGCAATGTGTGTGGTCCATTTCTGATGTGTGTGTGGGGGGGGGTCTTCTCCTTTGCTCTCTTCTAAAGAAGTGGAGATGACACACGAGTTGAGTTTGGTCACGTAAGCGCTCTTTGCCACGTTGGTGAAATTTGAGCCATTGAAACAATTTTCAAATCCAGTGAAATTTGAGGTATTCAAATAAGTGGTCACATGGGATCCCGTGAGACTTGATGATAGTGACCCATTGCAATGCTTGGGTAGTCAATTCCCTTTCCCCTCCGTCACAGCTCGCTACTTGAGGGTCTGTCTAGCCTTTAGTTGCGCTCCTTGGTTGCCAACCATGATGGAGATTATCAACCTTCATACTATTATGGTTGTGTCCATCTTCTCAGAAAAAATCCTCCAATACTTACCATCATTTGCCAATTTCTTGCAAGAACCAAATTGCCAAGTCTTAAAACAGTTAATGTGTGTGTGTGTGCTGATGATAACACCATGTCGTCATGATTTTTTACAGCTGGTGAAGAAGATGGATTAGTCAAAGGAGAACATCAGAGCCAAGAAGGGTGACGCCCTATCGCGGTGCTGTGGTAGATCCATCAGGTTAAAGGTGACCTACCATTCAACTTCCATAGCCGTGTTGGCACAGGATGCGGATGCTGGGCGTCCTTCCATAGGCCCATAGTGGCATCATCCTCATTTGTGGAAGATGGTGAGAACCAGGAGGATATCGTTGTGCCCATGGACAGTGGAAACCGTGGCTCCATCTTATTACATGCTGGTTACATGCTCTATTTCAGTTAGAGGGGATTTTAGGAAGGAGAAACAGTTGATTACACTTAGACATGGGCCCTGATATGCCTCAGTCAACATCTCCTATTTGTGAAAATGCAAAACCACTCTCTAAACCCACCTACCAAGCTTCTACGGGGTGATCTATCTAGTTTAAGATAGTTGAGGGGATTAAGATCCCAGTTTTTGGAGCTAAGGGGTGATGTCACTGAAACATGATAGTTTAGCAGGATATGTACACTATTTTTGGGATGATATAGTAATTTACTAGTACTACCAAAAACCCGACAGGACCCAAATTTCAATGTTTATCTGGTAAAGCAAGTGAACTTGAGTTGTTGTTATTGTTTATAGGTGTTGATGGGTTTGCCAGAAACTTCAGACAAACAAAATAAAATAAAATTAGTAATATGTTGATGTGTACTCACGCTTTAATATGATGTGATGCTATGTGTGTGGTCCATTTCGGATGTGTGTGTGGGAGTATTCACCTTTGCTATCTTCTGAAGAAGTGGAGATGTGATTGCTTGTTTCTGCGTTGGTATTTCCCTGAAGAGGAAAGGATGATGCAGCACAAGAAAGGTAAGTATTTCCCTCAGTTATGAAACCAAGGTTATCAATCCAGTAGAAGAACCAAGCAACACTATGTAAACAACACCTGCACACAAACAACAAATACTTGCAACACAATGTGTAAAGGGGTTGTCAATCCCTCAATGATATTGAGATAGATTAAATTGTATGAGATTTGATAAATAGATCTAACTAAAACACAAAAAAAGGAAAATTGCAGCAACGTGTTTTTGGTTTTAATATGATAGGAAATAGACCCGGGGCCCATAGTTGTCACTAGAGGCTTCTCTCAAGAAAATATCATACGGTGGGTAAACAAATTACTGTTGCGCAATTGATAGAAAAGCAAATAATCATGACGATATCCAAGGCAATGATCATGTATATAGGCATCACGTCCAAGATAAGTAGACCGAAATGATCCTTCATCTACTACTATTACTCCACACATCGACCGCTATCTAGCATGCATCTAGTGTATTAAGTTCATTGAAAAACGAAGTAATGTTTAAAGAATGATGAAATGATGTAGACAAGATAAACTCACATATGAATAAACCCCATCTTGTACCCTTAGTAGCGACAACACATGCGTGTCATGTCTCTTTCTGTCACTGAGATTGAGCACCGCAAGATCGAACCCATCACAAAGCACCTCTTGCATGGCAAGATTAATTAATCTAGTTGGCCAAACCAAACCAATAAATCGGAGAAGAAATATGAAGCTATAACAATCATGCATAAAAGAGTTCAAAGAAGACTCAAATAATATTCATGGATAGAACTGATCATAAACTCACAATTCATCAGATCCCAACAAACACACCACAAAAGAGTTACATCAAATAGATCTACAAGAACATCGAGGATAACATTGTATTGAAGATCAAAAAGAGAGAAGAAGCAATCTAGATACTAACTACGGACTCATATGTCTATGGTAAACTACTCATGCATCATCGGAGGGGCGGTAAGGATGATGAGGAACCCCTCCGTTATCGTTGCCCCTCCGGCAAAGTGCCGGAAAAGGCCTCTAGATTGGATCTTATGGTACTGGAACTTGCGGCTGCGAAAAAAGTATTTCATCAACTCCCCTAGGGTTTTGGGGATTTTATAGTATTTGTAGAGGCGGAAGTAGGTCAAGGGGGTGCCCGAGGGCTCCACTACCCACCAGGGCGCGCCTGGGCCCCCTGGCGCACCCTGGTGCCTAGTGGGCCCCTCGAGCCCCCTCTCGTGTGCTCCAGAAGCTTTCAGGGTCCATTGTCACTAGAAAAAATTTCCAAAATTTTTCATGGAAATTTGACTTTGTTTTATATTAATATTCTGTGAAGTAAAAAAACAAGAGAAAAACAACAACTCGCACTGGGCACTAGGTTAATATGTTAGTCCCAAAAAATGATACAAAGTTGCTAGTAAATGTATATAAAACATCCAAGATTGATACTTTAATAGCATGGAACAACCAAAAAGTATAGATACGTTGGAGACATATCAAGCATCCCCAAGCTTAATTCCTACTCGTCCTCGAGTAGGTAAATGATAAAAACAGAATTTTTGATGTGGAATGCTACCTATCATATTCATCACATATTCTTTTCTTTTATAGCATGGACATTTGAACTTCAAGTGATTCAAAGCAATAGCCTATAATTTGACATTAAGACCTCAATACTCAAGCATATCAACAAGCAAATATTAAAGAAAGCTATCCCTAGCCCATTATGCTCAATCATTGATCCATTCATGAAACACACTGAAATATTAGCTACATCTAGTGCACATGTATGACAATAGTGTTCCCTAGTTGGTGCTTTATAAGAGAAGATGGAGACTCAACAAAATAAAAATTTCATAAAAGTAAATAGAGAGGCCCTTCGCAGAGGGAAGAAGATTTTTGTAGAGGTGCCAGAGCTCAAAGCTTAAATTGAGAGATAAAATTGTTTTGAGAGGCATGCTTTTCCTGTCAATGAAAACAGCCGAGAATTCCCAATATATTCCATGCTAGATAAATCATAGGCGGTTCCCGAACATAAAATAAAGTTTATTTCCTTTTCCACCATTCTTTCGCAATCCATGGCTAGCTATATCCACGGGTGCCTTCCATGCCAACACTTTCCAAGGAATTTATTATTAAACAACATATTAAATATATTTTTCATTTTGGAAGTGGGCATCCCTATTACCTACCACACTCTCATGCAATGACAAATGAATAAACACTCATCTTGAGAATAACCTACATAGCATGGAAAATCTTGGCCACCCTCTGCCGCTTCATGAGCGGTACAAGCACACAAAAGGAAAATAATTTTGAAAATTAGAGTTGGCACATACAAATTTACTTGGAATGGCATGGAAATACCGCATATAGGTAGGTATGGTGGACTCATTTGGCACAACTTTGGGTTTGAGGAGTTGGATGCACAAGCATTATTCCCGCTTAGTACAAATGGAGGCTAGCAAATAGATTGAGAAGCGACCAACCAAGAAATGAAAACAATCATAAACGAGCATTGAACATAACTAACACTGAATAATGCACCACAAGTTGGATGTAACTATGCTACATAACTATTGAATATGTGCTTGCATAGGGAAGCACAAACCTTAACACCAATATTATTACTAAAGCATGATTACTCACCAACATGACTCAAATATTGCTATCTCCATATCTCAAAACTATTGCAAGGAATCAAGTTTATAATATCCAATGATCTTCATCACAGTTTTTATTATATCCGTCTTGAATATCTATCACTTTGGGACTATTTTTATATCTTAAGAAATTACCATTGCAAATAACAAGCTCTCAAACAAACTTAAGTGAAGTACAAGAGCATACATATTTCTTCAAAATTTTCATCTCTCAAAATAACCTAAGTGAAGTATGACAAGATATTTCTTTAAAAATCAAAATTTTACTAACTCTCAAAATGATCTAAGTGAAGCATGAGAGTATTTCTTCAAAAGTTAAACCGCCACTGTGCTCAAAAAGATATAAGTTAAGCACGTAGAGCAATTATAACAAATCATAGCATAATTATGGCTCTCTCAAATAGGTGTGTCTAGCAAGGATGATTGTGACAAAATAAAAATCAAAACAAGCAAAGGCTCATAAAATACAAGACGCTCCAAGCAAAACTCATGATATGTGACGAATAAAAGTATAGCTCCAAGTAAAATTACCGATGGTCGTTAGAAGAAAGAGGGGATGCCTTCCGGGGCATCCCCAAGCATAGTTGCTTGGTACTCCTTGAATATTACCTTGGGATGCCATGGGTATCCCCAAGATTGGGCTCTTTTCACTCCTTATTCCTTCATCCATCATGTACTCACCCAAAACTTGAAAACTTCAATCAC